TTGTAGAAACAATACGGAGCGAATTAATCTCCTTCGGCAGGCAAAGAGGAAGCATGAAAAACAGCCACCACAATGCTAGTAAGCAGTCGGTTTCCGGGCAGTGTCTTCAGGAATTCAGGTGTGGATTCGGCATTGTTGACAAACCCCTTTATAATTCCCAGCATGGATATGACATACGTGACATCCCCACCAAAGCAAAGAATCCACATGAGAACCGCCAACAAATAGTCGGCGCCTCGACCCAGGAGCAGGCGTGTCACCTTCTCGTAGCTCCGAAGCCCCGTGCGCTCACCGACAACGGTAAGCAGCACAAAGGAATACACCGCCATGGACGCTACAATAAAAAGGTACAGAATACTCATGACAATTCCGGACATTTTAAATGCAGCGGGAAGTGCAACAATGCCGGCGCCAAGGGTCGAGCTAGCAAGGTTGAACGCGGAGGACAAGATGCCACCGTATGGCATCACAACATGCATTGCCTTCAAGAAAATGTTATCGGGATTACGTCGCCTAGCCACACGCTCTGCCCGCATCGCATTAAGCTCCTGGATACGCTGCTCTGCGGGAGAGAGCGTTGATGTGACTCTCGTTGTCTTTACTAAATTCTCACACGTCGTTTCATCGGTATTCGCCGGCTCCGGTTCCGTAAAAAAGACCTCGTCGTAAAACACACTCGACTCTGTCACGCCATCGGCAACACTGGCCACGACTGGCAGGGAAGGCAACATCTTGGCACACGTGGGAAACCTAAAACCTAAATTGTGGGGTCCCGCCACTCAAGTTGCTCGTGAAACACTTCCAGGAAAAAAAAAAAGAAAAAAAGAAGAGGAGATGCAAATGTCCATATATAAATATATATATTTGCATGAACGCATACAATCAACCCACACACACAGAAAAAATAAAAAATAAATAAATAAAAAAACATGCACCAACATGAATTACAGCGACAACTATGCGAAAAAGAGAAACGATACTCGTCTTCACCTGCAGTACCTCTGCGGCACCGTGACCGAATACCCTCAAGCATCTCAATTGCACTGGAAAACCCAACACTGTCCCCCGGGGCACCACAACATCAAGGCATCATGACGCCCCACCACGCCAGCCTCCTACAACATACATACATCCACACCACAAGTATGAATGCAAGAAAACAATGGCATGAAACAGAGAAAAGCAAAAAAAATGCGACAGGACGGAAACAAAAAAAACACCACCCACAGAACCACACACAAAAAAAAGAAAAAAAAGAAACTAAAACCAAAAACCAAAACCAAAAGTAACAAAAACACAGCACAGAAGAATTTTTAAAAAATATAAATAAATTAAATCGAAAAGTATAACATCATTTATTTTTGTTATTCTTTCAAATACAAATCTTCTTCGGCAATTTGGCAAGGCAACAACAAAAAAGAAACAAAAAACAAAAAAACCGGCTAGAATAAAAACCAATTAAACCAAAACAACATCAAACAACGTCGCCCATGGAGATCACGTAAGACACTTCCGCACCAAAACTCAGAAGCCAAAGCAGGAAGGCCAAAAAGTAGTCCGCACCCTTCCCAAGAAGAGCCCTCGTGACCTGCTCGTAGTTCCGCAGCCCCGTCCGCTTCCCGGCGATGCCCAGAAGGGTGAAGGAGTAGATGGTCAGCAGACCCACCACCACAAGGTACACCAGCGCCATCGCCAGCCCGGACGTGTTGAAGGCATACGGCAGCGCAAGTATTCCGGCGCCCAGCGATGAGCTGGCGAGGTTGCATCCGGAGGAGATGATGCCGCCGTAGGGTATGATGCGATGCAGCCCCCGCTTGAGGCAGCTCTGTGGGTCTCGCCGCCGGGCAACGCGCTCCTGACGCTCCTGGTTCAGTTTCTCAATGCGGATCTTGGCGACATCCATTCGGTCACCCGTGGGAAGCCCTGCTTGGCCCTGAAGGTCCTCGACAAGCTCCACACCGTCGTTCAGTGGATCGTCAATTTGTTCCACGATGGGTGCATTGGTCATTTTTTGTGTGTGGATGCCGAGGTGTTTTTACCCTACGCGTCGGGTGACGCAGGGCATGTGTACATGAGGATGGAAAAAAGAGAAGAGAAAAGAGAGACAAGTGATGGAGTCAACGAGTGGAGGAGCAGACAACAAAATACACAACCGGCAAATGCGCACCGGCAACAGGCAATCCCCACGCAGCAGTGGCACCCGTACGTGTCCGTGAGAAGCCACGTCGCCGCCCGCACGACAAATGAGTGTGAACTCTGCCTAAAAAAACATAAAAAATATGGAAAAAATATGGAAAAAAAATTCGTACGATTACCACGCAGTTCGGAGTACAAAAAAAAAAAAAAAACGGTGCAACAAAACACAGCCGATCTATTCCTTGCTAAATATACGCCGGCGCATTTCACCACAACATGCGCGTTGCAATGCCCCCCTTCGCTGCTGCTAGCAACCGAAACGTAACGACCGACACCAAAAACAAAAAATAAAATAAAATAAGAAGTACAACAAAAGTAAACAAAAATATAATAAAATAAAATAAAAAAAAATCGCACAGATATCAAAAAAGGCACTAAAAAGGTTTTGAAAAGAGAGGGAAAGAACATCAAAATAAATAAAACTAATATTAATAGTATTAGGAAACCACCTACTCCGGTCCACCGCCAAACGGACATCTACGCTCAAAAAAAAAATTATTTTAAAAATGCTATTCAATGCATCGCCTCACCGTAAGCGGCAAATGCGGTCCCAAACACAACACCGATCACACCGACAAACAGCAGAAAGTGCGTCCCGATGTAGTGAAAGTACCCAACCGACTGCAGTGTCCAGTTGCCGCTGTACATGTACAGCAGGGCAGGGAAGATAAAGCCAATGAAGCCCCCAGAGAACCCGCCAACAAGGCCAAACACAATCGTGATGCTGGGAATAAATAGGCCACCAATGAGTGACAGCGTCGCCATAAAGCCACAGACCAGTGCGTTCTTCCACCATGCAATCGTCTTCACATCAATGTGGAGCACGTGGTAAACAGCCTCACGCACTGGAATCATGTGTAGCCCGTATCCAACACACAGTTTTAATACCATACCCGCATAAGCAACCCCCATCATCTTGTCCTCTATCGGGTTGTACCGCTTCAGGACGGAGCCTGTCAATGCCGGGCCAAAGTCCAGGTAGCCAAACAAACCAGAACACAGGTAAAGAAAGAAGCATAGAAAAACACCAAGTCCGGCACCCTTCGTGAGGCGCGTAACACTTGGCTTGTACATTTCCTCGTACACCTCATACGCATTCAGCTGACAAATAAAGGAAAATGTAAAAATAGAAAGGCCCTCGATGGCGCTGTTGCCAGTCCGGAAGTACACCAGATCATCACGCATTCCATGGGTGATAGTGTTGCGTACGGAATGGATGATCACGCAGATCACAAAGAAGACGATGAACATTACAGCAATAATTGAGATATGGCGCAGAGAGTTGATCTCCTTCGGTAGGCACAGCGGCAGCATGGCAACAAGCCACACCATGCTCGTGAGTAACCTGCGGCCAGAGGAGGATTTGAGATATTCTGAGCTGCTCGGGGAATTCTGAACAAATGCCTCAACAACATCGCCCATGGAGATCACGTAAGACACTTCCGCACCAAAACTCAGAAGCCAAAGCAGGAAGGCCAAAAAGTAGTCCGCACCCTTCCCAAGAAGAGCCCTCGTGACCTGCTCGTAGTTCCGCAGCCCCGTCCGCTTCCCGGCGATGCCCAGAAGGGTGAAGGAGTAGATGGTCAGCAGACCCACCACCACAAGGTACACCAGCGCCATCGCCAGCCCGGACGTGTTGAAGGCATACGGCAGCGCAAGTATTCCGGCGCCCAGCGATGAGCTGGCGAGGTTGCATCCGGAGGAGATGATGCCGCCGTAGGGTATGATGCGATGCAGCCCCCGCTTGAGGCAGCTCTGTGGGTCTCGCCGCCGGGCAACGCGCTCCTGACGCTCCTGGTTCAGTTTCTCAATGCGGATCTTGGCGACATCCATTCGGTCACCCGTGGGAAGCCCTGCTTGGCCCTGAAGGTCCTCGACAAGCTCCACACCGTCGTTCAGTGGATCGTCAATTTGTTCCACGATGGGTGCATTGGTCATTTTTTGTGTGTGGATGCCGAGGTGTTTTTACCCTACGCGTCGGGTGACGCAGGGCACGTGTACATGAGGATGGAAAAAAGAGAAGAGAAAAGAGAGACAAGTGATGGAGTCAACGAGTGGAGGAGCAGACAACAAAATACACAACCGGCAAATGCGCACCGGCAACAGGCAATCCCCACGCAGCAGTGGCACCCGTACGTGTCCGTGAGAAGCCACGTCGCCGCCCGCACGACAAATGAGTGTGAACTCTGCCTAAAAAAAAAAAAAAAATACGTAAAAAATATGAAAAAAAAATTCGTACGATTACCACGCAGTTCGGAGTACAAAAAAAAAAAAAAAACGGTGCAACAAAACACAGCCGATCTATTCCTTGCTAAATATACGCCGGCGCATTTCACCACAACATGCGCGTTGCAATGCCCCCCTTCGCTGCTGCTAGCAACCGAAACGTAACGACCGACACCAAAAATAAAAAATAAAATAAAATAAGAAGTACAACAAAAGTAAAAATAAAAAATAAAAAATAAAATAAAAAAGAAAATCGCACAGAAATCAAAAAAAGCACTAAAAAGGTCTTGAAAAGAGAGGGAAAGAACATTAAAATAAATAAAACTAATATTAATAGTATTAGGAAACCACCTACTCCGGTCCACCGCCAAACGGACATCTACGCTCAAAAAAAAAATATATTTTAAAGATGCTATTCAATGCATCGCCTCACCGTAAGCGGCAAATGCGGTCCCAAACACAACACCGATCACACCGACAAACAGCAGAAAGTGCGTCCCGATGTAGTGAAAGTACCCAACCGACTGCAGTGTCCAGTTGCCGCTGTACATGTACAGCAGGGCAGGGAAGATAAAGCCAATGAAGCCCCCAGAGAACCCGCCAACAAGGCCAAACACAATCGTGATGCTGGGAATAAATAGGCCACCAATGAGTGACAGCGTCGCCATAAAGCCACAGACCAGTGCGTTCTTCCACCATCCAATCGTCTTCACATCAATGTGGAGCACGTGGTAAACAGCCTCACGCACTGGAATCATGTGTAGCCCGTATCCAACACACAGTTTTAATACCATACCCGCATAAGCAACCCCCATCATCTTGTCCTCTATCGGGTTGTACCGCTTCAGGACGGAGCCTGTCAATGCCGGGCCAAAGTCCAGGTAGCCAAACAAACCAGAACACAGGTAAAGAAAGAAGCATAGAAAAACACCAAGTCCGGCACCCTTCGTGAGGCGCGTAACACTTGGCTTGTACATTTCTTCGTACACCTCA